GTCCCGTACGAAAGGTTTCAGAGAAGCAGCTTTGTCGTGGCGGTGTGCTCAGTTTTAAAATTTCCTTCCAAGTTGTGCACCAGAATCGAAGATCAGCATTTTATGCGCCGAGCTTCAGTTTCTCCAGAAGCTGAGGGTGGGCAGTCCTGGCCAGAGCCAGTCACGGCCTCCTCCTGGTGGGTCTCCAGGGGCCTTTCAGCGCCTCGAGGCACACCTCTGTCACTTGTGCCGTGCGCTTTGTTTAGGACGCATGTTCGGAAACTTCCGATCCTTTCAGTGTGCCCTTGGCCAAATACCGTATTTTTTTTTAAGATTTTATTTATTAGCCCTGGCTGGTGTAGCTCAGTGGATTGAGCGTGGGCCTGCGAACCACACGATCGCGGTTCGATTCCCAGTCAGGGCACATGCCTGGGTTGCAGGCCAGTTCCCAGCAGGGGACGCACAAAAGGCAACCATACATTGATGTTTCTCTCCCTCTCTCCTTCCCCCCCATCCCCTCTAAAGATAAATAAATAATAATAAAAAAAAAGATTTTATTTATTAGAGGGGAAGAGAAGGAGAGAGGGAGAGAAATACCGATTTCAGTCAATGTATGGTTGCCTCTCATATGCCTCCTACTGGGAACTGGCCTGCAACCCAGGCATGTGCCCTGACTGGGAATCGAACTGCGATCCTTTAGTTTGCAGGCCCATGCTCAATCTACTGAGCTACTCCAGTCAGGGCCAAATACCGTATTTTTTAAAAAGTTAGAGTGGCGGGCCTGCGAACCAAACAATTGAGGTTCGATTCCCAGTCAGGGCACATGCCTGGGTTGCAAGCCAGTTCCCTGCAGGCCAGTTCCCAGCAGGGGACACACAAAAGGCAACCATACATTGATGTTTCTCCTCCTCTCTCCTTCCCTTCCCCTCTAAAGATAAATAAAAATAAAAATCTAAAAAAAAAACATATTAAAAAAAAAAGAGTGGAGTACAAAGTGAGAAAGTGGGGAAGAGCAGACTCGCAGCTCGGTGAGATGTTGCAGGGCAGACACGCTCATCACCACCAGCCACCTGAGAAGACGGCCTGGCCTGCCCTCAGCCCCTCTGTGACCCTTCCCACTGTGCTCATCAGTCCGCGACTTCCTGCCCCTGTTTGAGCTCTGGTGTTAATGCACCTTCAGCACTGTGAGTCCTTGAAGTCTCTCCTCTTTATTCTTATTTTTTTAATATGTTTTATTGATTATGCCATTACAATTGTCCCATTTCCCCTTCATTCCCCTCCACCCTGCACACACTCCCCTCATTCCCCCCCTTTAGCTCATGTCCATGTGTCACAAGTTCTTTAGATTCTATATTTCCCATACTATTCTTGCCCTCCCCCTGTCTATTTTCTACCTACCGTCTATGCTACTTAGTCTCTGTACCTTCTCCCCCTTCTCCTCCCACTCCCCTGTTGCTGACCCTCCTTGAGATCTTCATTTCTATGTTTCCACTCCTGATCTAGTTGTCTGCTTACTTTGCTTTTGTTTTAGGTGTGGTTGTTAATAACTGTGAGTTTGCTGTCCTTTCACTGTTCCTCTTTATCTTTTTCTTAGATAAGTCCTTTTAACATTTCATATAATAAGGGCTTGATGATGATGAACTCCTTGAATTTGGTCTTATCTGAGAAGCACTTTATCTGTCCTTCCATTCTAAACGAAAGCTTTGCTGGATAGAGCAGTCTTGGATGTAGGTCTTTGGATTTCATGACTTGGAATACTTCTTTCCAGCCCCTTCTTGCCTGTAAGGTCTCTTTTGAGAAATCCGCTGACAGTCTGATGGGAACTCCTTTGTAGGTGACTGTCCCCTTATCTCTTGCTGCTTCTAGGATTCTCTCCTTCTTTTTAATCTTGCCTGATGTAATTATGATGTGCCTTGGTATATTCTTCCTTTGGTCCAACTTCTTTGGGACTCTCTGAGCTTCCTGGACTTCCCGGAAGTCTATTTCCTTTGTCAGATTGGGGAAGTTCTCCTTTATTTTTTGTTCAGATAACTTTTCCACTTGTTGCTGTTCCTCTTCCCCTTCTGGTACCCTTATAATTCGGATGTTGGAACGTTTAAAGATGTCCTGGAGGTTCCTAAGCCTCTCCTCATTTTTTAAAATTCTTGTTTCTGCATTGTTTTTTGTTTGGTCGTTTTTTTTCTCCCTTCTGGTCCACTCCATTGAGTCCCAGTTTCCTTTCCATCACTGTTGTTTCCCTGTGCATTTTGCTTCATTTCACTTAGTGTAGCCTTCATTTTTTCATCTAATTTGTGACTAAAATCAACCAGTTCTGTGAGCATCCTGTCACCAGTGTTTTGAACTGTGCATCTGATAGGTTGGCTATCTCTTGGTTGCTTAGAAGCATTGGTTCTGGGGCTTCGAGCTGTTCTTCTTGAGCCATAATGTTTTGGTCTGTTTGCACTTGTTATGTATGAGGGGTGGAGCCTTAGGTGTTCACCAGGGCGGGGCAACCCAGGTTGCTGGGTTGTGATGCTGTATGTGGGGGCAGGGTCAGAGAGGGGCAGTGGCGTTTTTTCTGCTCTCTCTCGGATTTTGGTCCCCTCTGTTGCTTCCCCCAAGCAAATCGGGTCCTTCTGGTGCTGGTTCCTGGGTGTGTGGGCCTGTGCACCGTCCAGGACCCTGTGGGTCTCTCCAGCGAACTCTCTGTGACCCTGGAAGCTTCTCCTGGCAGCTCAACCCTCAAAAGTTTTTCCAATTGGTGCTTTTAGGCTTTAGTTCCAGGCACTAGGGCCCTGGTTTGTCTGCGTGTGAATGTGTGACCGTGGTCAGCCAGCTGCCTTGCGCCCTCACTGGGTCTGCCTTTTGCCACCCCATGCCTTGGGATCTACCAACCGCTGCCTGCCCGCCTGGGTTGGTTCGGCCCCTTTTTTCTGTGTGACCTCTCTCTGCCAGCCACCGACTCTGCTCCTCTTACAGGTCTGGATGAATGGTTCGTTGCTGTCGAACTTCGGTACAGTTTAATTTTCTCTGTTTTGGTTGCTTTCTGGTTTTTAAATATTTGTTGTTCATAAACTTGGCTGTGTGAGGAGGTACAGTGTTTCCTCCTATGCCTCCGATTTGGCCAGAAATCTCTCCTCTTTAAAGGTCTCTCTCAGTCTCTTTCCCAGTGGAGTTTATGGAGGGGGACAGGTCCTCCATCCCATTTCGGTCCCTGTGCCTTGGTTCTGCACATTTCTTTACACGGTGGCTGAGTTGGGGCCAGAGTGTGCAGGTAGACGTGGCGGGTGTGTTCATTGTGGCACACCTGCTCTCCGAGGCTGCTCCGTGTCCCAGGGGGCACGTGGTGGGTGTTTGGGCAGCACTGCCTCGGGCTCGGCCCCTGCCTGCTCCTTCACGTCTGTGCTGTTGGTGAGGTGTCCTCAGTGTGCAGGACATCCTGGCCCCTTGGCCCCTGGTGTTACGGATGCCTTGTCCCACGTGCCTATGGACTGTTGATGGCTCAGAAACCCTGATCCTGGAGGAGATGGTGGCTTGTTTCACGAGACAGAATCTTTGTAAGCATGTTGCCAGGTGGCATTTCTTTGGGCATTGAAATTGTTAAAAGATACTTCTGTCTACATGGCTTCGTTGGACCGTGGAGTAGCCGTGTGTACGTTGGAAGGCCTGTCTGCCTGTGCAGGGATCCACGGAACTGGGTGTGCCGAGACCTGTGCACGGTGCCGCACCCGCGTGACACCTCAGCCGGACGGGAGGAGACCCCTGCAGATGCCCCGTGTGGTGCCCAGGACTCGCGTGGGGGCGCAGACAGCCTGTATCCCCAGGCCCGCTGCCGAGGCCGTGCGGCTCTGTGTTCTTCAGTGTGCAGACCTGTGGCCCCTCGGTCAAGGGCAGGCTCTGGGTTCACTTGACCTTGGGTCGGCATCGGCCTGTGGAGGCTCTTGATTCGACAGAGCCGAGTCTGCAGAGCGCCCAAGGTCGGGCCCCTCAACAGGGCCGGAGCAGGGCTCTGCGGCAGGAGGTGGTTCCGGGTCTCTGCGTGGACTGTGGGTGCAGGAGGGCAGCGGGGGTGACGTGCCCTTCAGAGCTTGGCCCGGAGGGCACCACGGTTCTGGAATACTTTGAAAGGCCATCATGGTATGGACATGGTCAAGCCAGCAGTGCTCGCACTGTTTTTTTCTTTGGTGGTTTGGTAAAACTTCCGATTCAGATTCTGTACAAAGTTCAGTCTTAAATTCACTGGTGTCCTGTTCTGACACTTCGTGGTGCACAGTGAAGGGTGTCGTCTTGTTAGGTTTTTTGTTTCTGCTCTGTCTCAGTTTAGATCAGACTTACATTGTCTTTCAGTGTTCCCGTCAAGCAAACCGAGGAGTGGCTTTGTCTGAGCACGGGGGTGGTGGTGGCTGGGGAAAGAGGAGCTTTCTGGTCATCAAGAGGTCACTGAGTGATCATCTCACCCCCGTTCCCCGCTTTTTAGAAGCCTCTGTGTTTTATAGTCTCCAAAAGGACGAGGTCTCTCAGGAGACTAGGAGATGCCCAGTGTCATTGTAGTGCGGAGCAGCCTTTGTGTCCAGTCCTGCCTCGGTTGCTGCTTCTCCCTCTGGCGGGTCCCATTTCTTCTCTGAGGTCACTGAGTGCAACCGCTGTCCCAGGAGAGCCGGCTGTTCTTGAACAGCGTCCCTGCCGTGCTGCGGCGGCAGAGCCTCCCTCTCCAGACGCTACTCCCAGCCTAAGTGCGTGGGGACACGTCCCACGGATGGAGCTAAGCATGCTTAGAGCTTTGGTTTCAGCATGTTTGCTTCTTGGGTGATTAAACTAATAGACATGTGTGAATTGAAAGTGGGTGACACCTGTGGATAGTAGGAGGTGGTGGACTTTGCTTTAGCAGAACCAGGGACAGCAAGAGGTGGCATTTCTGTGCCACGGGTGAGGGAGCGACATGCGTGGTTTAATAAAAGTAACACTGTCATTTCCAGTCTCCGTGATGAAAACGTGTTATTGTACTGCTCTAAAGCTAAACTCTGAGTTTTTCCGTGTTTTAGATTAAATAGGATTGCGAATCAGGTGTCCATTCAGCGGAAGAAGCAGTTTGTTGAGAGAGCCCACAGCTACTGGCTACTCAAAAGGCTGTCTAGGAATGGCGCTCCCCTGCTGAGGCGACTTCAGTCCAGCCTGCAGTCCCAAAGGAGCACGCAGCAGGTACGTGCCCTCGCACACCCCTCGGGGTCTCTCTTGTCTTCCCGACACTCTGAGCTGCTGTTCTGCTCCAGGCCAGCGTGCTGCCAGCCCCTCGGCCGCCAGCGTGCTCGCCTGCAGGGCCTGGTCCGGTCTGGTCCTGGAAGCCAGTGGGGACTCACACACGTCACAGGCTGCCAAGTGGTGGGTTTGCAGGTGACTGTCATCTGTCTGTGAGACCCGACATCCCTGCCTTTGGCTGCTGCCTCCTTCCCCCACTCTGCACATTTGTAGACGTCTGGGGAAGGGGAAGCTGTGACCGTGCCGCCGGTGTGGGGCCAGGTCCTGGGAGGGGAGCAGCAAAGGGTGAGGCCGGCGCCATGGTGTGGTCTGAGTTGGGCCGGGCGCTTAGGTGTGAACATGTTGTGCAGGGAGTGATTTATTTCAAAGGCATTGCCCTGCAGGCTGGTTGAGCATTGATTGCAGTGGGGAGGGCGGGAGGTGGCAGCCGAGATGAGGGAAAGGGAAGGTTTTGCTTTGTGAAGGAACAGAGTCAGCGCTCGCTCTGGTGGCACACGCGGTGGAAGTGGAACGGGACAGAGGAGATGAGCACGATCCCTGTCCGAGGACGACACGCAGAGACGCGTGCCGCGCTCTGTGGAAATGAAACGAGAACGACCGAGCACGTTCTCGTACTTTATACTTGATTGGGGTTTGTGGAGACGCCTGGTGTTGCTGTAAAGCAGTTCTGAGAATGAGAGTTCAGGACATCAGGGGCGGCCCTGCGAGCACTTGGAAATGGGAATCTGCTCATGGCCGCAGACTTGGGGCCTGCGTTCTCTGCTCACTCTGCATGTCATCTCCTTGGGCGGAGAGTCTGGTCCAGGTGCCCTCGCGGCTGGGTCTCTGCCCTCCTGGGCACGCAGCAGGCCGTCCTTGGGGTTCTGTGCAGCCGCGCACCTCTGGTGTCTGAGTGGTGCCTCTGCTCAGCTGCTGGTTTGCTGGGCAGCTGAGCAGGGCCAAGGGGACGCTGTTGGACACAGCAGCTCTCTGGGGGCAGGGACAGGACTCTGGGTCCTGCAGGTGGCTGCTGTGGGGTTCTCTGACGGGGGGTTTCTCATGCTGTTGCTGGCCACTTGCGTTGCTCCCTCTGCTGTGTTCTGGGGTTGGGCACCCCTCTCTGGTGGGCTGCTCTGGTTTCAGGTTGGTGCCACCGAGTGGGCACCTCTGTCCCTGCACGGTGTCACCACCCTGCACAGTGTCTGCCCCAGGCGAGAGGCCTGGGTGGATGTTTTTGGTTTTTCAGCAAAGCAACGCCTTTTCATCCTGTTACACCTTGCGATGTTGCTTTTCCTCCCGGTACCGTCCCTTCTTGGACACAGCGAGTCCTGGGCTGAGCATGTCCCGTGCCACCTCCTCACCCCTGGCCTGGACGCTGACATCAGTCTCAGGAACTCTGTGGTGACTAAACAGATACTCTAAGTTTTTTTTTTTTTTAAATATTTTATTTATTTATCTTTAGAGGGGAAGGGAAGGAGAGAGGGAGAGAAACATCAATGTATGGTTGCCTTTTGTGCGTCCCCTGCTGGGAACTGGCCTGCAGGGAACTGGTCTGCAACCCAGGCATGTGCCCTGACTGGGAATCGAACCGCGATTGTCTGGTTCACAGGCCCGTGCTCAATCCACTGAGCTACACCAGCCAGGGCAGATATTCTAAGTTTTTTAAGATTTGGATTTTAATGTCTTTTTAAAAATACTTTTTGAAAACCAAAGGGAAACTGTTAGATTCTGGGCCTCTGTGAGGCGGGATGTGCCCTGACCCTTCTGTCTCCAGGCTCGAGGGTGCGCTTCTTGGAGCCTGCTCGTTGCCCTGCGGAGCGTGTGACGATGAAGCCGTCTCTCCATCAGGGGTCCAGGGCTGGGTGCGGGCGTGCTGGTGCCCTCTGTGCCAGCTGTGTTGTGTCCCATGAAATTTGCATGCACACATGGTCTCAGGCAGTGGCCAGGAACAGAGTGCGGTGGGGTCAGGCTTCTGCAGACTGTATTGCCTGCCTGTGTTGGGGGCTGCAGGGACTGCAGGGACTGCTGGGACTGCTGGATGGGGACACTGGGTTCAGATCCAGCACACTGAAGGCCCCTTAGCCCAGGGCTTTGGCTGCCTCAGACGTGTGTAGATGGGGCCGGCTCCAGGCGTCCTGAGTGCTGCCGGCCTGCCGAGGGTCAGCTGCCCGTTCCATCTGGCGTCAGGCTTGCTGGCTGCTTCAGGTGCACCCCTTGTTTTCACTGTGCCTGCGGGCCCCTGGGGCTGCTCGAATGCGCATCCTGCACTCTGGGTCCGATCCGGACTCTTCATTGGCGCCACCTGCTCAGCTGACGTGCTGCGTGTCCATCCCTGCACCTTGGGAGTGGGGTGCGTGCTCCTGTCAGGGCTGTGCTGGGACTTGTGCCCTGGGGACTGCCGGCCAGTGCCGGCGCGTTGTTGGGATGCGTGGTTCGGGGAGGTGGAGGGGGAGGGTGGGAGCAGGCCCGCAGGCCTCCAGGGCGAGGGGAGGACTCTGCGCCTCTGCAGGGCGATGGACAGGCGTGATGAGGGGAGGCGTTGCAGGGAGTCGGGACGTGGAGGTGGGATGATGCAGAGAGATGGGACAGTGGAGGGTGTGGACCTAGGGCACTCCTGTCTGCTGTTGAGCCACAGGGGAGCCATGCGGTGTGCACACAGGGGCTGCTGAGAAGTGGCAGTCCTGGGCAGGGCAGGGAGCGTTTGTGTTCTGTGGCGGTGGTGGGGCTGGGGACGTGGGGGAAAGGTGGCTGGGACTAGCTGGAGGGTGTGGGATGCAAGGCTCGGTCTGTCTCAGGAGGCGCTGATTGAGGCGTTGGTGTGAAATCGGTTATCTTAGGTTTTTCTTGTGCCACGCGGGATGAGTTTGGGGTGAATTCGTAAGGGCAGCAAGACAGAATGGGAACGTCGGCCCTTTGGCAGAAGGATGGGGAGAAAAGGCCTAGGTTGGAGTCTGCGCCACCCGACCTGGTTGGTGCCCAGCGCTCGCCAGGTCTGGTGGGCGCCACATCACGGCTGCAGAGCGTTCACGCAGCCTGGGGAGGCCTCCGCTCAGGTCCGGGCAGCCCTTTGTGGGGGGGGGGGGGGGGCGAGGGTGGAGGGGCTGCATCCAGCCACTTCATCCTGTAAGTTACGGTTGACTTTTTGAGGGGGGATCAGCTTGGTGTGATTTTAATGTCTTTTTAAACTTTAGAAACCCTGAGGTTAGAGTTTAATTTAACTTCTTTGTCCATGGGTCTGGGTGCCCACCCTGAGCCAGGGCCAGGAAGAAGACAGGTGCAGCCTTTTTCTCCTGTGCCTGACTTTCCGGTGGGGTGGACAGACATACAGACAGGACTGGGTGGCCTGCGCGCAGAGGAGGCAGCTCAGGTTGCAGGGCAGCTGGGCCCCCTGCGCTGCAAGTTGTGGTGCCACGGGATGGCCCCGTCCTTGGGTCAGTTTGGAGCCCACTGAGGCCTGGTCTGGCCACCCCACTCCCGGGGGCTCCGGCATGAGGCTCTGTGAACCCACTCAAGGGGCTTTGACCCCCATGGCCACGTGGGGTCTCTCACCGTGCAGCGGCCCGGGACTGGGGTGGACGTGCTGAGAACTCGCCCCGCCGAGCTGGCTCGCCCTTCCCGCCAGCACCGGGGTTGTGATCTGATGGAGCTGGCCCTCATGGTGGGGTGTGGCCCTCTCCCCGGCCATGGGTGTCCTTCTCCTTTGTGGAGTCAAAGTTGGCTCGATTTCAAACATGATCTCCTAAAATTCTCTTTACAGAGCTTATCAGTACGAGAAATTACTTTCTATCCCACTTTTGCCGTCTTCCAGGAGTTTTCTTTTTCTCTCTTTTTTTAAGACTTTATTTATCTTTTAGAGGGGGAAGGGAAAGGAGAGAGGGAGAGAAATATCAATGTGTGGTTGCCTCTTGTGCATCCCCTGCTGGGAACTGGCCTGCAACCCAGGCATGTGCCCTCACTGGGAATCGAACCACGATCCTGTGGTTCTTGAGGCCTGCGCTCAATCTACTGAACTACATACACCACCTGGGGCTTCCAGGAGTGGTTTTACCTGGGACATAAAGACCGCTAAACAGCAGGGTCAGAAAACTTGGGCCTTTCGGGCAAGTGAGGCTGCCATGTGCACCTTGGTCTTCTTCCACTCGGGGCTCTTGGCACGTGGGCGTGTGGGCTCCACCTGCATCCGGCTCTTCGGCTCTTCGTGGCTTTCAGATGCTCTTGGGCAATTTGGTTTCTAAATCCACCTCTTTATGTACTTACTGGCCTTGTTTGTACAGCTGATGTTACTGTGGACTCCTGTTTTTAATTTATTGATTTTTCTTTTAAAGAAAAATATTGCTTTGTTCACTTACTCATGCATTCATTGGTTGGTTCTTATTTGTGTCCTGACCAGGGATTGAACCTGCCACCACCTTGGTGTATTGGGACAACACTCTAACCAAGTGAGGTACCCAGCCACCGCGGTGCCTGACAGTTTTAAAGAACATTGTTAACTTAGTTGTTTGGTCCGTGGATGCTAAGACCCCCTTTTGTGGTCCCCTGGCCTACCCACCCTGGTCCCCAGGCTGGAGCCCCCAGGCCCGGTCCTCCTCCCTCTCGTGCCTGTGGGTGTCCCCGACTGCAGAGTCTGTGGAAAGCAGGATCCGCTCTCCAGGCAGAGCTCTCTCTTCCCTCTGCAGGCGTTCAGACTCGGGGCATGGTGGCTGGATCTTGAGGGCTGGGCCTCCTGTGTCAGCACCGTCTGGATGGGACAGGGTTGGAGCCATCTGCCTGGGGAAGTTGTGCCTGTGGAGGGTGTGTTCTGGAGGCTGGTGATGGACGACTGGCTGAGCCGTGGGCTGTGTGTATTCCAGGGGTGGGAAGGAAAGCCGTCGAGGTGGAACCCTCCCGTGGTCCAGGGAGACACGCACCTACTATTGGAGTGGGATCGGGGTGTCCTGGGCTGTTGTGATCACAGCCCGCACGGTGACAGGTGGGAGCGTCTCAGTGGAGCGTGGTTTGGGGAGGAGCCACGGGGTCATCTCCACAGTGTCCTTTGCTGCCAATGCCGGGCCTGACCTGGGAGCTGTGGTCAGGCAGGGGCAGGCCTTCAGCAGGCCGGACGGGAGGGGAGGGCCTGCTCAGGCACTGGGACTTTGCGGGGTGGTGTTGTAGCAGCAGCGGCAGGCGAGCCCGGGAGTGGGGCTGAGGACGGGCAGCCGCTGCCGTGAGAGTTGGGCACACCTTGGGTGTGCCCGAGGGCCCTGGGCGCACTTGGGATGGCAGTGCCACAAGTGTCGGGGGTGTGGCCTTGTGGAGCCAGAGGGGGGATGGGGTTGGGCTAGAGGTTGGGGTGCTGGGGGCCTGCCTGGGGCAGGGCTGTGTCCTTGGGGACAAGGAGCACCTTTGGTTGTCATTTCCTGTGCTGGGGTGCCCCTGTCAGGCCGTTGGGGACTTCTGCGATGGTTCTGTAGAACTCGCTGTCCCTATGGTTGGAGGCACATTGGGCGGGCCTCGTGGCCCTGGGCTCAATGCCAGCCCCTGGCCAGGACCCCACCTGGCCACCCCATCTGGTCTCTACTGCTGGTTCTTGCACTTGGCAGCAGCTCGTTTCTAGTGTTGAGATGCAGACTGGAGATGGGCAGGTGGTGTGCCTGGAGCACGGACGCACTTGTATGGGCTTGGCCTACGGCAGGGCTGCCTGGCCCGGGTGGTTCCTGTGTTTTGGTTTTCCCTGCGCTGCTGCCTCATTCTCAGGGCCCACGAGGTGGGAGCCCTGGCCACCTCTTAAGGTCAAGGCGCGTGGCTGCTCTCATCACGGCTCTTTGGGTCCCCAGAAGGCCCCTTCCCTTGCCTCTGCCTCTGGGGACCTCGGTGTGCTCCGGAGAGCGGAGTCTGCCGTCTGCCCTCCGTGGGGCCCGTGGCCTGTGGGAGGGGCGGGGCTCTTGCCGCTGCCTGGGGGCTCGCCACAGGGGCCTCTGAGCCTGACGCCTCGCCTTTCCATGTACTTTCACAGAGAGAAAACGACGAGGAGATCCAGGCTGCCAAGGAGAAGCTGAAGTACTGGCAGCGGCTGCGGCATGACCTGGAGCGCGCACGTCTGCTGATCGAGCTCCTGCGCAAGCGTGAGAAGCTCAAGCGGGAGCAGGTGCGGCCTGGCGTGGGGCTGTGGGCTGTGCGGGCTGTGGCTTCTGGGTCTGTAGGCCTCGGCCCTGGCCCTGCTCTGAGCTACCCTGGTGCCTGGGTTGCAGACAGCGCTGTAGAAGGGGGCACTGGCCCCTCGAAGGACGCGGGGGCTGTGCGGGGTCAGGAGGTCAGTGTGGTGTTCGGGGACCTCGGGTGTGACAGGACCTCGGCTTCAGGGAGCAGGAGTGCGCACTGGTGTGGGCCGCGTGATGGTGCCGAGTGCTCACGTGACAGGAAGTAGAAGTTTGCAGGGACAGGGTCACCTTGCAAGCGTCTGTGCTGAGCACCGTTGTTCCTCAGGTGAAGGTGGAGCAGATGGCGCTGGAGCTGCGGCTGACCCCGCTCACGGTGCTGCTGCGTTCCGTGCTGGACCAGCTGCAGGACAAGGACCCGGCTCGCATATTCGCCCAGCCGGTGAGCCTGAAGGAGGTGGGTGCGCACCCTGCGCTTGCTCCGCGCCCGCGGTTCACCCCAGCCGGGGAGACTGTTGCTCACTGTGTGCTGAGTTCTTTTTATCCCACCTGTACCTTTTTTACTTTACTTCATTTTTTCAGAAATTTTACTTCTAGAGGGAGGGGAGGGGAGGGGGAAAGAGAGGAAGAGAATCGTTGATGTGTGATAGAAACACAGATCAGTTGCCTCTCGCACGCCCCCAGGAACTGGGGGCTTGGTCCGCAACGTGGCATGTGCCCTGACTGGGAATCAAACCAGTGACCTCTCAGTTTGCAGGCTGGCGCTCAGTCCACTGAGCCACACTGGCAAGGGCTCATCTATTTCTTAAGTCATGGAAGTGGCCCTGTTCGTGGTAAAATGCTAGAACTGAGTTAGATGGACATTCCTTCTCAGAGAGACCCACTCCCTCCGCAGGTCGTGGGCGGCGGCAGCGGCCACTCTGGCTCTTGAGGGTGGGAGCTGGTTTCTGCAGGGTTTACGTTTGGTCCATCTCGGAGCTGCCACTTGCTGGCATGTGGGAGTCACATTTGCGTGCGTGCCTGTGTGTGTCCGTGTTGCATGTGTGCGAGGGAGACTCTCCTGTGTGACGTGTGTGTTGGCTCTCTAGAAGGACAGGGAGCCGTTTCCTGTTTGTAAGTGTTCGTCTGTCCTCCTGCAATCAGGTTCCGGACTACCTGGACCACATTAAACAGCCCATGGACTTTGCCACGATGAGGAAGCGGTTAGAAGCTCAAGGGTACAGAAGCCTCCTTGAGTTTGAGGAGGACTTTGACCTCATTGTGGACAACTGCATGAGGTACAACGCCAAGGACACGGTGTTCTATAGAGCCGCAGTGAGGCTGCGCGACCAGGGCGGCGTCGTCCTGAGGCAGGCCCGGCGCCAGGCGGACAGCATTGGATTCGAGGAGGCCTCGGGGATGCACCTGCTGGAGCGGCCCGCCCCGGTCCCGCGGCGGCCTTTCTCCTGGGAGGATGGTAAGCACCCGGCCGGGCCCAGGAGTGCGCAGGAGCACGGCCCCCGCGGGCTCTGTGCTGGCTCGGGCCCCTACGCCTGGGGCGCGACCCCCGCGTGGTTTAGGTTCTCCATTAGCCTCGTGAAGAAAAGAGGGAAAAGGCCGAGTTTGTTTCAGTAGCAGCCTCTCGCCCAGCAGACCCAGCTGTTGTGAGTTCCGCATGCGCGCCACACGGGAGTCACTGGTGACGTGTTCCGTTGGCTTCATTTTCTCTCTGCTGCCTGCTGTGCATTTTACACTCAGCGTCTCTGCTCAGCCCCGCTGTGTGTCCGGTGTCCTGGGTGGGACAGCTCAGGGCTGGGTGATGCAGCCTGGGAAGCAGTTCCGTTGGGGACTCATGCCCTGGGCGGTCTTGGCGGCTGCTGAGGGCGCTGTTCACTGTGTTTCAAGGGGGCAGAAACGAGCGCACACGCTCTAGTCGGCTCCCTCCCGCCCTGCGCTCCTGGTCCTCACATCCCGTCCTTGCTGCCAGGCCGCCTTCCCAGCACCACGCTCCCACCACCACCAGGCTTCCCGGAGGGGGAGGGGCTCGGGGCCTCTCAGTGTGGGTCTTTCAGAAAATGGCCATGCAAGTGGCCACGGCATTGCCCAAGTAAATTTCTACACTGAGGTCTTTCTGCGGCTAAAATGAAGGCTGAGTCCTAATTGATTTTTTCTTTGGTGTCAGGGTGGGGTCGTGGGTGAGCTGGTGCCCCGTGTGTCTCTTGCCTCCCTCCTGGTAGATCTCGGTGGGCACCGAGGGCCCCCGCCACGCTGAGGCCCATGTGGCCCAGGCGGAGCGCAGTGCCTGCTCTGCGCAGAGTCTGCAGGGTAGACTGCGGCATCTTGCTTTGGGCCTCGGATGACATGTTTGCTTATGTGAACACTTCTGAGGGTCTAGCATCTGAAGTTTTGTTAGAGTGATGGTGGAATCCACCCAGGCACTAATTTCTCGTCCTGTGCTGGCGTCTCGCTTACATCACAGGAGAGACAGGCACTGCCCACGGAGTGGCGGTGGCGGGGGAGGGACACGTGCTCATCCGCACAACCGGGCTGGTGCCGTCCCCCCCCATGTCCTCCTCCCCCACCTCTTCCCAGGGAGCTCTGAAGAGCAGTGTGTTTCTCAGCGGCCTGTCACCGGGTGGAGGTCATCTGTGCTTCAACAGTGTCAGGGTTTGGCCAAGATTGAAACCCAGGGATTTTTGTAGTAAATGAGCCTGAAATTCAGACTCCCCCGTGAATTTTGCAGCCCGCGGAACTGTTAAGCCACATAACGACCTGGGTCTGGAGACTTGGGCTCGGGGGCAGTTGGATGCCCAGACAGCCCCAGCTGGGGCCCTGACATGAGTCAGTGTTGGGGCTCGGTCCAGTGCGCAGCAGTGCTCGTGCCTGTCTCCGGGGCACTGTCCCTGCTTCTGCGCCTGTGTCTGTCCCCTCCCATTATGCCCCTGGTGGCTGTGGGTCTTCACGCCCTCGGATGAAAAGCACATCTCTGTGTGGCAGCAGCCCGTTGTGCGCTTAGAGTGGAGGGGGCGTCATGCGGCTGAGCCAGGGGGTCTTGGTCGAGGGTGATGTAAGGGGCAGTGGGAGCAGGAGGGTTTTTTCACCTCACAGGGCAGCGCAGCGTTTGATGACTGATGGATGCATGTTGTTTGCCTGCAGTGGACAGGTTGCTGAACCCGGCCAGCAGGGCCCACATGACCCTGGAGGAGCAGCTGAGGGAGCTGCTGGACAAGCTGGACCTCACATGCTCCATGAAGTCCAGTGGGTCGAGGAGCAAGCGGGCCAAGTTACTGAAAAAGGAAATTGCTCTCATTCGAAACAAGCTAAGCCAGCAGCACAGCCAGCCCCCGCCCTCGGAGTCAGGTACTGGAGGCTTGGAAGAGGAAGGTGCTCCGCTGGGGCAGGAGACGGGGGAGGAAGGTAAGCACAGCGCTGTCTCCGCGTCGGTCTTCCCGAGGCCCCGGGGGCCCTTGTAGCTGTGCCATTGTGCTGTGTGGGTCCTTACGCGGTGCAGAGTTGAAGGCGCGGGGGGAGGTTCTTTCTCAACTGGGTCCTGAAAAGTTACCGGAAGAGCACGGAGCGGTCGTGCACAGCCACCCAGAAGGGTTGGAGAGTGGAGGTGGCTGCGTGACGGGAGTGACGGACGGCCTTGTGCTTCTGTGTCTGTGTGGGGGGAGGGCCATGTGGAGCGCATGGGGTCTCCAAAGGCAGCTTTGCGGGGGCTGCTGTGTGGTGCCTGCCCTTCCACGCTCCTCTGGCGTCTACAAGGGAGGTGGCAGTGTGGGCGCCAGTCCCTGGGGGGCAGGCAGCGGGGCCCGCGCGGCCTGTGTGGGGCCTCCCGGAGACAGCCTCGCCTTGGCTGCACTCTGGCAGTTCACGTGCAGGGCGTTGGGAGCGGCGACGCACATGGGTCGCAGTGGGAACGTGTCTGGGAGCAGAGTGGGGCGATGGGCATGTCTTGTGGGCAGAAGGCACACAGCAGGCAGACCCCCTTCCACCACTGGGAGCCCCCGGGCCACCGGTGCAGACGGAGGGCTTGCATCTGGGAGGCGAACTCAGACGGGAGCTTCAGTGGTTTGAGCAGGTGGAACTCGCCCGAAAACCCTTCTCTTCTTTTCTTGCCCTTTTTTCTAGTTTCAGTATCAGCACAGTTCAGTTAGACAAAATACTGGGTTGGCCAAAAAGGTCACTTGCTCTCTTTTGGTAAAATAAAGACACAGTTTTAATTTTCACCAATAACCGTATTGATTTGGATGTTTGGAGCATGTCGGCTAATTCCCGTGTGGTAGAGTGCTGCTTTTTTTTTTTTCAATAACGTCTCTGTTTGATCGCTGTCAGCTTCACCTGGTCCACCCAACTGGAGCATCGTCCAGCGAGAAATCTCCGGCGCGAAACTTTGCAAACCCCTTCCGACACTTTCCATCAGTTACAGCACCTTCTCCCTACACTGCACAAGTCTTTTTTGCGTTTCAGTTGCATTTTTATCTTTTTTGAAACCGCAAAGCGGAAAATGCCGAAAACGTTTTGTATTTGCTTCCGATTTCAATATGACAGTGGTTACACAAAAGTCGCCCATGTCGGCGAGTGGTTTTAATGCACCCTGTGCACAGCTGTGCCGGCTGTCACAGTTCAGTCTAACACCGGAGCACCGCTGGAGCTGTCTTGTGGGAAAAACCAAGTGAACTTTTTGGACAGCTCAGTAGAGAGTAGAATAATACTCCCTGCCAAACCAATAGCATTTGGGTTTAGAATCTTCGAGTTTTTTAAAAACAACATAACATTCAGACTTCCGCAGCTTACTTCTTAAAAAATGCTTTGCCACTGCGGATGGTCTTCGGAGTCCTGGTCATGGCCACGCGGTGTTCCTGTCCTCGTAGGGCACCACAGCCCACCCACCCCCACGTGAGTTCCGGCTGTGACCGTTCGGCTCCTCCAAGTCCCCACGGTTCCTGTGGGTTCCTCTCCCACGGCCTGGAGAGTGAGAACAGGGCCCTGGAGTTTTCCTCATGGGAAGGGACCTCCGTTGCACACAGCGAAGGAGGGTTAGGCAGCCTTTTCCGCCTCTTACACCTGGTTTTCAGTTTTGTGCCCTGTGGATGCAGGTTCCTATAGTGGGAGGTGCAGGCTGCACGCTTCTCCTTCGGGGGATAGGGTTGTCGTTGGTCCCAGAACAGAAGCAGCGTCGCAACCTGCAGTCAGTTCCAGAACAGAGAGAACCCCCGGTGTTCAGTGCCCTCCCCGCCAGGAGGGTCTGGTTCTCCTGTGCACTTGCTCGCAGGGACTGCGGCAGGCAGACCCCTTCTGCGCCCGGTGCGTCCTTGGAGTCCAGGGCAGCCCTGTATTGCCAGGCCTGCTGCACCCCTGGGGGCCGAGTCCCCTGAGACGTGGCAGGACTCGTGGGGTGGGTCCCCTCCTCACTGCCCGGGCTGTCGCTCGGCCGGGCACTCTGCTTCCGTCCTTGGAGAGCTGCGCTCTTGGCGTCACTTGTCCTGGAGAGGCGGGGGTGGGGGGAGCGCCTGGGGTGCCATCCTCCTCGTCGGAGCAGCCGACTGAGCACTCCCTCTTCCCTGGCGGTCCGGTTGTCCTGCCGCAGAGCGGCATGTGACCCTTTACCTTCGTCAGGGGGCTCCCCTCCTGGCATCGGGCCCCCATCTGGGGAGTGGCGGACAGCCTCGCCTGCCAGGTGGAGGCCTCCGGTTGGGGGCCCTCGAAAGACCACCATTGCTGCTCTGTAGCGCTGGAGCCCTTTTAAAGGGTGCACTGCGCTGAAAGCAGCGGCAGGAGATGGCTTGGCCTGTGAGGTGCGCCCTTGTTAAATGTGACCAGGTCCACTGGAGGGTGTGCTGCTTTCAGTGGTGGGAACCGGGGATGGAGAGCAGGAAGAGCCTCGGAAGGCCAGTCGCGGGGGCCGGGGACACCCACCCTCAAGCAGGGAACCTCTGGTGGGTGCAGGGCAGGGTCACGTGTAGTCCCTGTGGACTGGTGAAGACAGTCATGGGCAGATGCTACGTCACTGTGGGAACGGGGGCTTAGGGGACTGATGGTGGCACGGAAGCCAAGAGTCTTCTAAACCAGGGCCTCCTAACAGCAGGGTCGTCACCACATTGAAACAGGAGGCTCTTCAGTGCCAGCCCTGCGCGGCTGTGGTCCCATGTTTACGTGAGCTCTGTGTGGGGCGCAGGAGAGTGACGGGTGTCAAGCCTGTTGAGTAGCCCTCGTCCGAGGGAAGGGAGGTCTCCGGGGCTTGGGGTCCCCGGAGACATTCCTCTCATTGAGTCCCTGGATGAGGGGCTGGTGGCAGGCCAGTCCCTGTCCCATGCCTTGTAGTCTCGAGGCTGCGCGGCTGCCTCAGGGCTGAGTTGGGGGCGTCGTCTGGTTCGGGGCTGTTTTCCGAGATGAGGATGGAGCTGGGTGGGGCTCAGTCGGAGCCAGAGGTGGCACCCCACAGCGCACATGTCGGAGGGGAGCCCTGAGTGCCGCCAGCAGCTTGCGGAGGCCTGGCTTCTCCCTCTCCTCCTGGAGTTCTGTTCCCTTGGCTGAACAATGAAGACTGTGGCTTTGGGAGCTGCAGGAGCAGAGTGTCGTCCCCGAGTCCCTTGAGGGGGCTCTTGCTTCTGGCTTCGTGTTTGGAGCCTGCTGCGCCTTTGAGGACCGACCGGAGCCTCCTGGGGGCGGCCTGCTCATCGCAGCCCACGGGTGCGGGGGCGGGGCCTGCTGTGGTGTCTGAGGACCCCCGTGCTTGGGGGTGTGTGAGCATGGGGTGGGGCGGGGGGGCGGTGTTGATGGGGGTGACTGGCGAGCAGGTGTGTGAAGTGTCGTCCGGCTGCTTTAGACCAGGCGCCACGGGGTGAGGCCTGCGGCCGTGTGGACGTGGCACGAGATGAGTGGGTTTCGGATGCTGATTTTTATATTTATAACTTGGAGTTGCAGAGAGTTCATTCTAGAAGCTCCTCAAGCTGAAGTCTCTCGCACGGTTGCATTACGTGTAGTGTTGTGCACACAGCAAACTTTCTAACTCGTGTGTGCATATCCGGTGAGGTTTCCACGCACGGCAGGCCCCCCCCCCCCCCCCCCCCCGGCAGCCTGGGCCACGGGGCCAGTGCTGCAGTCACGGGGTTCGCCGGGCACGTACATGGGGCTGCGCACGCCTTGTGCCAGGTCACTGGAGCGGCCTCTGGTGGACAGTGGCCCTTCACTGGCCTGCCCCCTAGTGCCTTGGAAGTCCTCGTGTGAGCTGCCCTGTGAGTGGGTGCCAAAGGCTGAGGAGCAGGGATGGGGGCTTGGGCAGGCTGTGCCTTCGAGGAGAGGCCGGAGGTCTCCCTGGTGAGGCCCCTGTGTGTCTGGGGCGGGGCTCCTGTGCGGAGGGCAGGAGTGGACTGAGTGGGAGAGTGCGCGCAGTTGTGGACTGTGGTGGTCCGGGCCTCCTGTACACGGCCAGGCACACAGGTGCCTTCAGGCCCTGGGCCTGAGGTTGGCCTTTGAGTAGAGGGTGGGCTAGAGGTGGCCGGGGAGGGACCTGGCTGTGTGGTGGGAGAACCCAGCTGGGGGGAGCAGCCACTTGGTCGGGCAGGAAGGGCCCTGCAGGCCCCCTGGCCAGGACCAGGGAAGACCTCTGCAGGTGCCGCAGAGGGTGCTTCTGGTGAGGAGGTAGGAGGAGTGTTCAGCGGAGGCCCTGGAGGAGCAGGCTGGAGGAGGGAGAAGAGGCCGCGGCTGAGCTGCTGCCCGTGGGGCGCGCCAGGGCCCCGGGGCATGTGGGCAGGAGGACACACTCTGCGGGGGCTGCCACACACCCTTCTGCCGGAGTGCGTGGTGCTCCCGGGTGCCACGTGAACACCAATTCCTTACATCTGTTAGTGACTTTGAGCAGTGGTGGGAAAAGTTTGGTCACCAGTGAACTTGTCACTGTGGCCCAGGGTCTGATGTGTCCTGTCGGCGTCCCCTAGTGTCCAGGTCAGGTGGGCGAGGGACCCCCTGGCAGCCTGTGAGTTGGAGGGGTGGTGTCCCCTGGACCAGCTCGGCTGGACGGCCCTTGCCCCTTGTGGTCTGATTCGCTGCTGAGCGGGGGGTCCTGACAGGCCTCCAGTGGCCCCTGAAGGCGGGAGGCCTGGCCTGGCTGTGCTGGAGAGTTGGCGGTGCCTGCGGTCTAGAGTCCTCTTCCCTGGGCTCCGAGGTCCTGTGGGCTGACGGGCTAGATGCAGCTTTTCATCTGCACAGTGAACTTGAAATTTGAGTGTTAACTCAATACCTTTTGAGTGGTTTGCGGAGTTTGCAGGTTTAGTGCAACAGAAACCACCTGGGCGATAAGTACCCCTCTGGGCCATTTAAGCCGTTGCTGTTGGCCGTAGATCTCAGGAGCTGCAGCCAGTCAGTCCTGCGCAGGGAGAAGCCGAGTGCTCGTCCACCGGCCCGTCCACCAGCCCGTCCACCGGCCGTCCCTGCAGGGCCTGCCCTCCAGCCTGGGGCAGGCAGAGCAGCCTCCAGGGAGGTGGCCAGAGAGCTCTGCTCTGTGGCGTTTTCAGACGTCTCGATTTTACATTAGAGATTTTAAAAGCCCTTTAAAAAGACCTTAAAATAGTCTTCTAAAGACTGCGTTTATTTTTAAAGTCAGATTGAAAAAAAGAACTTGAGTTGCAGCATTTCGGAATGTGGCGTAGAAAGCAGTGTGTTCTGAGAGCTGAGGGGTGGTCCCCTCTTCCCCCGAAAACTGCTCACAGCCCCTGGGTGCTGCCTGGTTCCAGCACCGGCTGGGGGGGCCTTGGTCAGGGCCAGGGGTCAGTGTTGCTCCCGTGCGCCAGGTGCTGGCCGCGGCTGGGACAGTGTTCGGGTGCCTGGTCAGACCCTTCGGTGTGTGCACTCGGTTTCCCTCATCAAGGTAAGTGGACCCTGGATGGCAGTGGTTGTCACGCCCTCGAATGATGCGTCTCTTGTTGGCGAGTGTGGGTCCCCTTCCCGGTCAGTTCCTGAGACCCGACGGCCCTCGGCGCCCGCAGACACTGTGTGTGATGCTTTGTCTCCTTAACTGAATTCGTGTTTTGGTGGAGTTCACATTTGTAGTAAGTTTTATAATAGATTTGATAATTACCAGTTTTCAAAAATCACTTTATTTATAATTTTTTCAGGAGATAAATCTCCCCCTAAACTTGAACCACCAGACGCATTACCTCTTCCTTCAGACTCGGAGACTAATTCAGAGCCACCAACCCTCAGACCAGTAGAACTCAACCCAGAGCAGAGTAAACTATTCAAACGAGTCACATTTGGTAGCGAGTCACATAGCGCTGGCACTCAGAGCGCACTGGTACTCGGACACCCGGCAGAGCCCTCCCTCGCCTGTAGTGGCGATGCGCCGGCGGCAGCGGCCTCCGCGGTGGCGGAGCCAGCAAGCGATGTAAACAGACGCACTTCTGTTCTCTTCTGCAAATCGAAAAGTGTAAGCCCCCCAAAGTCTGCCAAGAACACTGAGACCCAGCCAACTTCTCCTCAGCTAGGGACCAAAACCTTTTTGTCTGTAGTCCTTCCGAGGTTGGAGACTCTTCTGCAGCCAAGAAAAAGGTCGCGGAGCACCTGCGGCGACTCCGAGGTGGAGGAGGCGTCCCCGGGAAAGCGCCTGGACACAGGTAAATGCCTCGCACCCTGGTGCGCCCTCTGTCCTCCGGGGTCCGAGGGCCCGGTCGTTGGGAGTGCCGCCCAGCAGTGGTCTCGGTTCACTGTGCGCAGTTTGCTTAATTTCCAGATGAGAAGGCAGTACATTTACTTTGAAAAGCCCTAACTTGCAGGTCTGAGGGGCGCCATCTCGGGGTGGCCGCCGCCACAGTGGACATGGTGTGGCAGTCCCGCTCGTCCTCCCCCCCAAGTTTGTACATGGATGGGGGCTTCCCAGTTGCTCATTTTGCGTGTGGTGTGCATGCAGACACTTGGGTGTCGGGTGGCGTGGACACCCAAGTGGGCTGGCTCTCGGAGCCCACTGGAGGGACGTGTGTCGGGGAGACCCCGAGTGGCTCTATCCTGCGGCTGCTGGGATGTCCTTTTTCTGAGGAGGGCATGGGCCCTGGGCCCTCGGAAAGCGGCTGCCCTTGCCCAGCTGGCTCCAGAACTTCCTGGTGTTCTGTCACTGTTCTGTGTAGTTTTGTTAGTACAGGAATTACTGTTTCCTGCTGAAACAACACTTGAAAGTGTTTCTTGTTTACCCGCGAGTTTCTACAGCCTAATTAGTTTAAGGAAGTGACCAGGAAGTCCCCACACGTGCCTCTGGCCGACTGTTTCCACGGGGTCCCAGGGGCTGAGCTGGAAGGGGGTGCCTGAGCCCCTCTGCAGCCCGGCCCGCGGCCTCCGGGTACAGGAGGGGGCGTCTGTGTCGCGAGGCCACGGGCCTGTCGTCTTCCTGGAGGTGTGTTCCAGCATGTGTGTCCCGTGGGCTCTCGTCTTGGGTCAGAGCCTGCTCTGTGTTTCGTACCGGTCCATCTGTCAGGTCCTGACCAGGAGCATCCTTTGGCGTGGCCACTCTGCTGGCGGGTTGCTCTTGGCGCAGCTGTGCGGCAGCGAGCGCACCTGTCCTGTCGGGTGCTGGGGCAGGGCCGGGGGAGGGGGTCCACGCGGAGGGGACGGCACAGGTGGGCTCCCACACTGGGCACACATCTCATTCTTGTCCTTGTCAGAGTGTCTCGAGTGATGCTCATTTTACCTATGGGAAACTTCCCCACACGCAGCTGGTTTGCAGACATTGTCTGCCGCGTCCGCTTGTATTTTGACGGGTTGAGGCGAAGCTGAAGTTTGTTAGAGCCGTTGAGTTCTGAGTGACACGGAGCCCCTTCTGTGTTTCACGGGACGCAGTAAGGTGGGCGTGGAGCTCCCTGTGGGCTCTGGCCTCCCCTCGCTGAGCTGTGGCCTTTCTTAGGAAGCCGAGTGCAGCTCGCTCAGCCTGTTCCCAGTCATGCCCGCGGTCAGCGTTGGGAGGGAGGCCCTGCTTGTTGTGGGCCAATGCATTCGGCAGCAGCCCGGGCACCAGGCCCTGGCTGATGACTCCCAGGCATGGCCCGTCCACCCCATGCCAGAGCCTCCGGCCTCTGCCTGTAGCACCGGTGCGGGGCCCTGTGGGTCAGGTGCTTCACTGAGAAGCTGGTGTCCTCACAGTGGCCTTCACCTGACCCTTTGGGTTCTGCTTGAACTTCTGACTGTTGGTGAGGTTCCACCGGCTTGGCAGGTGTGGCTTACAGGGAGCTCTCGATGTCCCCAGTAGAAAACAACATGTCCCCCTCCTCCTGTTTGTCCGTCTCTGAGTGGAGGGCTTTGCACGTGGCGATGGTGGGCCTTGGAGGAGCGTGTGTGTCCTGTGGCCCCGACTGAAACGCAGGTCTTTGCTTTCTTGTTCCAGAGCGGCAGTAGAGTCAGTGGATGCGCAATGAGGCTGCACGCTCCTCTGTGGCCAGGAGCCTCAGTGGTGCGTGGGCGGTCCACCTGTCAGTTCTGGCCCCGCCCAAGATGGGCCTCGGCTCTGCACACCTGGATCTCTTGCTCCGAACTGCAGCCTCGCAGTCTGGACTTGAAGTGCTCTGGGCTCTCGATCGCCCCCCCACGTGGTCTGCTCGCCTGCCTTGTGGGAGTCCTCTGGTTTCCGCCATGCACTGCAGGATTTCCGAGTTAGAGTAAAGCTCTCGCTCATTCTGAGACGTGGGCCGCGGGGCTCCGTCAGGAGTCTCCGAGGGAGCCATGTGCTGCTTCTCGGCCTCGTGGGGGTCAGCGCACCTGACTGCATCTGGGGTCACGTCCACAGAGTGCCCTAGCGCCTGTCTTTGGTGACCGCTCATGTTTCCAACAAAGGACCGTCAGGCTGGAACTTCTGTGCTCCTTGTCCCCTCTTGTGGTTCTTGCCGAGCACGTGGTGGGGTGTGCGCGAGGGACAGAGGCAGGGGCCTCTCCTGTGTCCTCATCTGTGCAGGGCAGAGGCTGGTATGTCGACGTCTTCAGTCAGACCAGGCTCCCGTTCTCACCGCTAACTTGCTGGTAGATCAGTCTTTGGACCCTAATTGCTCCTCTCAACCTGGGTCGGGTCTCTGCTGAGTGGCCGTTACGGGACACAGATCACTGCACCTTGTGTTTCACGTAATTCTTTGGATGATGTTGGAAGCATCGGTCTAGCCACCCTCCAAACCAAAACCAGCCATGGAGACTTGTCCCCTCTGTAAGTCGGAGCCAGGTGGAACTGCCTGGCACCAGCTCAGCTGGCTGGGACGGCACCATGGCTCTCCCTGTGGACAGGCGTGAGCCTCAGTCACTGGAGTGGCTCCGAGTGGCTCCTGCATCCCCAGTGGACTCACTGGTGGTGCCCTCGGCGGCGCCACACCGGGCCAGATGCACCCGAGTGCTCCACATGACATGGGAGGCCCTCAGCTGTCAGGGTCTGTGCCCCGGGGCCCTCCGCACCTCCTTCCCTGTTCAGCTCTGTCTCCGTGCCCCCGGCTGTCCCCGAGGGGCAGTGACGGGCAGGCCTGTCTCTCTGGTCACCACAGCTGATCTGGGAGGTGGGAGGCAGCCCCTGTGGGCTTTCTGCCGCCGCCCCCCCCCCCCCCCCCCGGCATCTTTGGAGCCGGTCCAGGAACCAGCAGGGGAGCCGGGTGCTTGGTGTTTTTACAGAAATACTGCAACATGGGCACATAACACCGTTCTCCTGCCAGTAGGAAAGGTGCAAACGGGCGAAGGAGACAGTGCACTTGTCCCACCGCCCGGGGAGGCTGAGTGCAGTCACCGTGCCCACTGGCCTCTGAAGCTGGTCGCACATTTGACGCCGGGCCATGTTCTGGGGGGCTGCTTGTACCACATGGCCTGGGGTGGGCGGCAGTGACTGCAGCCCATTCGTGGCTTTGCCTCTCACCCAGCTGCCAACGGAAGGTTCTTCAAGGACTGGTGATAGTGTCGTAAGGTGTGGGCCTTGGCTTTCACACCTGGGAGGCTTCGCGCTGCTTGGCCACGCAGGCAGTTCAGGTTGAAGGTTGAGCCTCGGGGCTGAGCCTCGGTGAGCGCTCTCTCTCTCTGAAGAGTCTCCTCCTTGGGCACGCGGTGAGCCCTGGGAGAGCCTCGGGGCAGCGGGAGGGCCCAGCGAGGGTGACCTGGGCTTGGTCAGGCCTCTGGGGGCAGAGGAGATCTTGCCTCCGTCCCCTAAGAGGTCCTCTGGACCCTTGGTGGACCTGGGCAGGGGGCAGCTCCCATGCTGGAGGCTGTGGGCCTGCCTGGGAGAGCTGCCCCATCTTAACTCTCGCAGCACCTGACCTGACCTGAACTCAGAACGTCCCTCCTGCCGAGGCCGTTGCTGACGCTGTGCCCCGCTGGTCACGTGGGTGCGGGGGCCCTGGCTGAGGGACGCTTCTGCTCTGAGCAGTGGCTGGTGGGTGCTCCTAGCTGCAGCTCATGGGAGGGGTCGCAGTGGGGGAACCTGACAGTGACCGGTGCTGGTGACATTTCACAAGTGACACGTGGAAACTGCATGTAGGTTGCTTGCCACCCTGGTGTGTGTCCTCTGTGCTCTCAGAAGGATGGGGGGAAATATGCTTGCCCCCACTGCTTAGGGTGTGGCCTCCCCACATCTCAGCCTGAAACCCTTAATGTCACCTGGGAGCCTGGCTTTAGGTTGTTGTCCCCAGGCACGTCATCTGCTAGTGGATGTCAGAGTGTGGATTTGCTCTGTGTTTCAGTGCCAGTCTCCTGGGCCGGACACGTCTCCTCTCCACTTGGGCACCGCACCGGGCCAGCCCCTGCCCAGGAGTGTTCGGGGAGAGGTGCCACCTCCCCTTCCTCGTCCTCCGCCTCAGGTCCCTGCTTGAGCTTCTTCCCGGTGCTTCCAGGTGCCTGTTGTGGGTGGAGAGACCCTTCCCGTCTCTGTTTGGAGAGGCTTTGTGGCCCAGGCCCAGTCTGCTTCTGCTCTGCTGGGGGAGGAGTTCTCAGCTCCATCAGAGGGAGTCTCGAAGACATGGTGGAAGTTCAGGGAGTTGGATGCGGTGTGTGGCCCTCAGCCGTATTGGAAGCTGCACAGAGTAGCATTGTGGCTTGTGTCCTCGATGCCTAGACTTTGTCACAGGGCATGATGGATTAGGTTCAGGTCCCGTGACACCCAGGTCTTCTCCTGAGGGCATGGGCAGTGGCCTTGCAGTCTTGTTGGTGCTGGGCCTGCTCATGCCCTGGCGAGACTGTGGCCCCTTCTCTCAGACCCGGGTCTTGCGTCCTGGGCGCTCTGTCTCTCTGGGCTGGGCGGGCTGTGTGTTTCTAACTCGACTGAGGGAGGAGACGGTCGCTCTGTTCTCGGGGATCCCAGTGGCCCCGGACGGCACCTTCTGCACTCTCCTGAGAATTGTCACCCTGGAGGACCCTGAAGGGGAGATGCGGGCCATCCTCTTGCTTTGCTCCTCCTCCTCTTCCTCCCCCTGGGAGTGGCGTGGGGCTGAGTCGGGTCTTCTGTGGGAAGGGGTTACCAGGGGCCAGCTCTGTCCCGTGCGTCAGCTCTGCTGTTTCTTCGGTGGGGTGTGGTAGCCGCTTACAAGTGGCAGGTTACAACAGGAGCACAGCACTCTGTCCGTGGGAACTCCTCACGGACAGGAGTTAGCTTTAGACTCAGAGGTAGGATGTCCTTAGAGCTGGTGGTGTCACGTCCAGCAGAGGTGCGACAAGGCGTCTGATGAATCTGCGTGGGGAAAATGCGTGTCTTCGGTCTGTTCGGCGAGCAGCGGGGGAGGCCGCGGTCCGGTCTCGGACGCCGCGGTGGAGATCTGCGGCAGAGCGAGCCACACGGGTGTCTCGGTGCGCATAGGAACCACACGTACGCCGCGCTGTGGTGTGTTAAGTGCGTAACAGCATTATGCCTGAGAACAGTGTGTACCTTAATTAAAAAATGCTTTATTGCAAAAAAAAATATGCTGACCATTATCTCAGCAAGCTGTCACCTTCTGGCTGGTGAAGGGCCACGTCTCGATGTGGTGTCTCGATGTGGTCAGTCGCTGCCGGCCGGGGTGGTCGCCGAAGGGGGCTGGCTGGGCCGTTCTTAAAGTGAGATGGCAGTGACTTGCTCTTGTCAGCTGACTCCTCCTTTGGGAACAGTGGCTCTGCAGCATGTACGTTCACCACAGGCCTTGTCAGGCTTCAGACCCCGCTGCTGCTGAGTCACCTGCCCTGTGTGGGGTCTGAGTCCTCTGACGTCAGGTCGCCGTCTTCACGGGGTCTCCACCAGGAGTGGACTCCATGTCGAGCAGCCACTTTCTGCTCCCCCGTGAGCACCTGCTCACCTGCGCAGTTCTGTCACGAGATCGCAGCGATGCAGCCCCATCTTCGGGCGCCACTTCCAGCTGGAGCGCTCCTGCCGTCTTCACCACATCCTGAGTTACTGCCCTGAAGTCATGACCCTCAAAGCCAGCCAAGGGGGTTGGAGTCACCTCCTTCCACACTGTCGTCACCGCCTCCCACGGATCACTCATGTTCTTAATGGCACCTAGAATGGTGAGTCCCTTTCACCTGATTTTGCCCCAATCCATCAGAGGAATCACTACGGCAGCTAAGGTTTGCAAAATGTATTTCTTAAGCAGTAAGACTTGAAAGTCAGAATGAGTCCGTGATCCAAGAGCTGTGGAAAGGCACGAAGACAACGTTCATCTTGTCCGTCCCCATCAGAGGGCTGCTGGGTGACCGGGTGCACTGCCAGTGAGCCTACGAGTTGGGAAGAGCCCTCTCTTCCGAGCAGCAGCAGGTCTGCACCGTGGGCCCCCTTCGCTCGGCAAACCGTCCTGTGCCCAGGCGAGCCGTCTGCCAGGCTTTGGTGTCCATCTGCAGAGCACAGGCAGAGCGGACGAGCGCATTCCTGGAGCCCGAGGGTCGGCCGGTGGTGAGGGAGCACTGGCTTCCACCGAGCCTCACGGCTGCATGAGCCCCTCCCAGGAGAGCCGGCCCGTCCCTGACGCTGGAAGCCAGCAGGGCCTTCTCCACTCCAGCTTTGAAAGTCCATGGCGGCGACCTCTTCCGGTGCGAGGCTGTTCGTCTGCACTAGGAGGCCGTGTAGAAGTCGGCGGAGGACTGAAGCCGCCTTCAGCGGCATCTCAGTGGACCTTCTGGACAACTTGCTGCCGCTCCCGGACATGCGCATTGCAGAGACGGCTGCTCTCCCTGAGCCGCGTCAGCCGGCCTCCGCCAGCTCCAGGCATCTCTCCCACGGCCTGCTCGCCTCCCAGCCTTCGCAGAACTGAGCGGAGGGGGGTCTTGCTCTGGAGTGGGCTCTGGCTCAGGGAGCGTTGCGTCTGGTTTGATCGTCTACCCTCTCAGCAGTGCGGCTGCTTCGCCTGCTGACCACTCGCATGGTCACTGGAGTTGCGCTTTTAATTTCCTTGGAGAACCTTCCCTCGGCTTTCACGACTGGGCTGACTGTTTGGTGCAGGAGGCCTGGCTTTTGTCTTATCTCGGCTTTCAACACGCCTTCCTCACCAAAACAATCGTTCCTAGCTTTTGATTTAAAGTGGGAAACGTTGACTCTTCCTTTCACTTGACCACTAGGGGCCGAGGTAGGGTCATCGATCGGCCTGGTTTCAATGCTGTTGTGTCTCAGAGGACGGGAGGCCCGAGGTGAGGGAGAGAGACGGGGACGGCTGGTCTGCAGGGCAGTGAGAACACGCCACCTGTATCCCCCAGTTTGCCGTCTTCTGTGGGTGCAGTTTGGGGAGCCCCATAGCAATTACAGTAGTAACGTCAACCAAGGTCATTGATCGCAGATCCCTGTGACGATGAGAGAGCAGTGACAAGGTTTGAGACACTGAGTAGACACTGAGCACAGGCGGTTGGGACAGTGGCGTGGAGAGGGTCGCTCGTCCCTGGCTGCCCAGCCCTTCAGCACATGCGCACGGGGGTCCGCCTGGTTCGGTTGGGTGGGGTGACCGAGCCCTATAATCCGACCTCCTGCTTCATGATGCTTTTGAAAAATGGGTTTTTAGTTTTTTAGCATGAATGGGATTTATTTTTCAGAAAAAGTAAAAACAGGCACAGCCCTTCAGGTGTTGCAGGGGAGGGAGCTGGGCTGGACCCTGGTGGTGGACATGGCTGAGTGTGGGAGGAGCCACCCGGTTTCCTCCGGGCTGGCGCTGGTGGCCAGGCTGGGCCAGGTGCTGCCCCTGCTCACTGATGGGGGGTGGGCGGTCAGGGGTTCGGTTCTGAGATCGACCTTGGCTGAAGCCTTGACTTCTCAAGGGCTGTGGTGAAGCGCCTGCCAGGACGTCGGCTTCCGGGGGAGCAGCGCTGGCCTGGCCCTCAGCCCTTCACGAGATGGGCCAGCACCTGTGGTTGGTGTTGAAGTGTTTTGGAGTGTTTTCGAAGCTCTGTGAATCCTTTCCTTTGAAAGGAGGTTTTTCTTAGGTTTTCTGTTCCCATTTGAAGCTCCACTGTGTGAAGCCACTCATGGTGGCCTTGTCTTGACAGGGCTCGTCCCCAGCGTGCGCCGGACGGGCGGTGCGTGGCTCCGTGTGTCTGGGGTGAATACCTAACGCCCTTTCCTTGCCTTTGTGGAGGCTGCTTAGCACTCGCGGTTCACAAGACGCACACCTTCTGGAGACTGGTGTGCTCTGAGCCAGTTTGATTTGAACCCTGCGATGGTCCGTTACCTCCATTTCATTGCCCAAGTGCTATGTCTCCTGCATTGCGAGCACCGTGCTGGGTGCCGGGGGCTTGGGTGAGAGGACCAAGGTGGGACTGTGGACACGAGCCACACCGCAGGTTCCGGCTCCAGGGGGGTGTTGTGCTTGAGATGCTGGCCTTGGCGGCGGAGCTCAGGCACCATGTCTGTTGCAGGTCTCACCAATGGCTTCGGGGGCATGAGGAGTGAGCAGGAGCTGGGCGGCGGCCCTGCGAGGAAAGCCACGCCGCGGCGCCGCTGCGCTTCCGAGTCCAGCATCTCCTCCAGCAGCAGCCCGCTGTGTGGCGCCAGGTGGGCTCCCGGCGCTTGTGCTCTCTGGGGGTTGGTGTGCGTGGCACACGTGCACCTGTTTTGTGGAACTTAACTGGAAGTGGGGAATTCCAGCTACAGGGAAACACAGTCCTTAAATTTGTACTTAATTTGTAGCTCGTCTTTTTCTCACAAAGGCTCACCTTTGTTGAAATGGTGGCGAGCCCCGCCCTGGCCCCGTGCCTCGAGGAGGCCGCCTTGTGCCTGGGGCCCCATGTTCCCTGGCTCGGTGGGTGCAGCAGGGCTGCGGCTGTGGGGCTGCAGACAGGGCCGCCCTGTGACGCAGCTGTGCTTGTCCTCCGGCAGTTTTCACGCCCCCAAGTGCGGCCGAGGCAAGCCGGCCCTGGTGCGCAGGCACACGCTGGAAGACCGCAGCGAGCTGATCTCCTGCATCGAGAACGGGAACTACGCCAAGGCGGCCAGGATCGCAGCCGGTGAGCGCCTTTCCAGGCCCCGCTCGCGTCCTCTGGCCGGCGCGTCCCGACGGCGGTGCTTTGGGACGGGTGCCACCTGCACTCCGTGTCATGTTTCTACCTGGGGGGTGTACCCCCGGCTGCCCTCCTGGAAAGGGCCAGCTGCAGTGTGTGTGTGGGGGGGTGTGTGGGTCTGTGCAGCCAGCCCTGGGCCGCCGCGGTGGGGAGCACTGGCCTCCACGTGGTTTCTGGGCATGAAACGCTGCAGGGGCTGCTGGTGTTTGTTTAGGCCGACCTGGGAGACAGCGAGAAGCTGTGGGGTCGGGGGGGTGTTCCCCACTTTTCAGCACCTAGAGGAGGCCCTGGGTCAGGTGGGGACAGCTGAGCTGTACAGTTGGGGCAGAGTCTGGGTTGGGTATGTGGGTGGGGGCTCGGAGGGAACAGCCAGGAGGGGCCTGGCTGCATGGAGAGTAGGCTGGGGGCTCGGAGGGACCCTGGTTGCCAGGCTGTGGGTGTGGACTTTCAGGGATGGTTTGAGAGGCGAGGCTCCCTGCTGGTCGAGGATGAGGAGGGGTGAGGAGGGCAGAGCAGGTGAGGGGGCCAGGGCTGTGGTTTTGAATTTGGAGTGTCAGTGCGGAGATGCACTGGGGCCCTTTGGAGACGGGGATAAGGGTGGAGGTATGGGGCTTGGGAGGGAGAGATGTTGGGAACCTGGAGGTTGGAGGCCCATGAGCGAGGGCAGGGTGTGAGGAGGCCAGGGTGGGGCTGCAGGTGACGCGGTGAGGGAGAGGTGTGAGGACCTCACACTCAGGCCAGGGGTGGACGCACCGGGACCCTCCTGTTTGGACGGCGGGACTGCTGGAGCGCGCGCCTGTCCGTGGTGGCCTCATGTGCGCCGGGTGCTCTGCTGTCCCCCAGGCGACTCACTGTCTGTCCTTCCCTCCTTTCGCAGAAGTGGGTCAGAGCAGCATGTGGATTTCAACAGACGCCGCGGCCTCTGCCCTCGAGCCTCTGAAAGTGGTGTGGGCCAAGTGCAGCGGCTACCCCTCGTACCCTGCCCTGGTAAGTCCTGGGGAGAGCTCCGTCAGCACCTGCCTCCAGCCGGGGCCTGGGACTTCCTGCCGGGGCCACCGTGCAGGTGTGACTGCGTGTCTTCTCTCGGCAGATCATCGACCCCAAGATGCCGCGGGTGCCCGGCCACCACAACGGGGTCACCATCCCAGCCCCGCCGCTGGATGTGCTGAAGATAGGTGAGCACATGCAGACCAAAGCCGACGAGAAGCTGTTCCTGGTCCTCTTCTTCGACAACAAGAGAAGCTGGTGAGTGTGTGCGCAGGCGGCGTGCGGACGGCGCACTCGCCCCCGGACCCCTGGCAGCCGTGAGGCGCACGAGTGGCCAGGCCTCCGCCCCAACAGCTTCGCCCCTTGGGCACTGTGGGTGGGCAGGCCCCCCTGTACGTTTCTTACCCGGATGGCCCACCCCGGGTACTGACCCTGGCACGCCGAAGACTGTGGAGTGTGAGCTGGCTGGTGGCACAGAAGCAGCCCACGCACAGCACTTCTCAGGGCTGACAGCTCACTGTGCTGACCTGTGGCCCTGTGTGCCCAAAGCTGCTTCGTGTGCCTGGTGTGGCACCTGCTTGTGGGGGAGGGGCAAGGCCTGCCTGTACCTGGCTGGGCTGTTGCGTGGGCACCTGCTGGCATTGGCACGTTTGGCCGGACTGGGTTTGTGTGCCACGCTGCTGGCCTTTGTGATCACTTGGGAAAGGCAGGGGTTGCTGACGGGGCCTCCTGGACGCAGCGGCCCATGGAAGTCACGGAGGAGCGGAGGGGCCCACCTGGTGGTATGCTTCCCTGAGCCGCCGCTCACAGAGGTGCGGGGACAGGTCGGGCTGTGCGTCCGCCCCGCAGTCCCCAGGCTGGCCAGGGCTGGTGGCCTAGGTGGCCACTTCTCGGCCCCCCGGGCCCCACAGTGACCAGTGTCCCCAGAGGGGTCCGAGTGGTTAGGTAGGGTCCTGAAGCGCGGTGACGTGGCTGTGCGGGCAGCCTCACTGTTGCCATCCCTTCTCTTCCAAAAAGGCAGTGGCTCCCGAAGTCCAAAATGGTTCCCCTCGGCATCGACGAGACGATAGACAAGCTGAAGATGATGGAGGGGAGGAACTCCAGCATCCGGAAGGCCGTGCGGGTCGCCTTCGACCGGGCCATGAGCCACCTGAGCCGGGTGCACGGGGAGCCGGCCAGCGATCTCAGCGACATCGACTGAGGCCGCCTCCGCCCGCCTGGGCGTGCTCACGGCCGACTCGCTCTGACTTCTAGGGCTGGTGCCGTGGCCCTTTGTCCCGGGGGGGGGGGGAGGTCCTGTTTCCAAGTTTTCTGTGGAACCGCCCCCGTCTCAGCGCCCGCCTCTGCTGGCCTCTGCTGGCGGTGGGCGCGTCTTCCGAGTGGGACTGTGCCGGGGACGGGCCACGCACGGGGCACGCTGGCGTCACCTTCTTCGATCCATAGCTTTTTTTTAAAGACTTTTGAATGTTTAATAATTTTGTAAATCATACTCTTTACACAGAGTACCAGTTATTTAATAAGATGGGATGTACATTTACAATGACAAATGTGTATTTTAAGAAAGAAAATGCATTATTTTGAATGGTACTTTGTGGAAAGGGGGAGAATAAACTTCTGCCGTGCACACCACCTGCAAATCACCAAAAACACTCCGCCACCCTGGGCGGGCGGCGTGCCCCGCGGTCCCGTCCCTGGTCTCCTCCGCCTCCTGCGCCCCAGCTGCCTACGGGGTGCCCCCGAGCGGATTATTTATTGTAGAAAGTGTATTCATTTGCTTTATAATGAAAAATAAATTTGCAAAAGTATATTGATATGCATTTTTATACAGGCACATAGACGGTCGCCTTGCTTTGGAGCAGGGCGTGTTGGTTGTCGTGGACATGACTGGCTGTGTTCTCCGGTTTTGTATCTTGTGCTCCTGTTTACACCGAGGGCCTTTCTGTGACTTGCTTTGATTTGGAACACTTTGGTAGCAATAGGGACTTTGGATACATTTTGTATGGTACCTGTGATGTACATAGAATTAGTACTTTATTTTTATTTTTAAGAGGTAAAGCATTATGTTGGGGGAAAAGGTAGGGTGGGTTTCCAAAATTGCATTTTTTTATATTAAAAAAATAAAGTCAAGATTTGGACGGTGTGGCCATTTCATTCCTACGTCCCGAGTGCAGACCAGCGGGCCACCTGCAGGCTGGCCAGGTCCCGGTCCCCAGCCTGTCCCCGCCAGCTCGTGCAGGCACTGACACACCCTCACCCTCACTCTGGCATGGGTGGTGTTATTTATTACTTTAGCTAATCATATTTTTATTTTAAACTGGTAGTTTGAGGGGTTTTTTTTTTCTTTTTCAGTCTCAGTTGTTGTAACATCTCCACAGAAACTTGAAAATAAATGTCTTCCTTTGATAGTTTTGTCCTGTGTCCGACAGACGCTTTTTCTCTGCCGCGGCCCTTCGAAGGCACTGCCCAGAGCCCGGGGCTGAGGCAGGTGCGGCCTCTCCACCCGGGAGGGTGTTGTCTCGGGGTCTCCGCAGAGCGGATGGTGACACTTCGAGCTTTTTTTGGTGGCATCAGCTGGGGCCGAATCTTGCCCTTGAGGGCATCAGGCCTGGGCGGGCTGCAGAGGCCCGGCCTGGGTGTCCGTCCATCTGGGGCTCCGGGCAGGCAGCTGGGCTCGGGGGACCTGTGGTCTGGGGAGATAGCACTGCGTGGGCTGCCTCTGCTCCCCGCGCTCACCCGCGGGGTGTCTCCCAGCTGGCCCACGGCTCAGGCCGGCCCGAGATGCTTGGCGGACAGTGGATGGCTTTCCCTTGCAGGGTGCTTGAGGATGCTGGCACGTGTTTAGGGGTCAGCTTTGGCTCTGGGTCATGGGCAGTGCGGGGCACCGAGCCCTCACCTGGGTCGCAGGCCCTGGGTGGGTCTGGGCAGGGTCGTCCCGGGGGGCTCTGGGGGCCCAGTGACCTGCGGAGCCAGGGGTCCTCTTGGATGGCAGGGGCCTTGGCGCTGTCTGGGATGGGGGAGTCCTGGGAGGCCGCCCGGGGCTGCTCCGGAGGGAGGAGAGCGGCTGAGCCGGCAGGTCACTTGGTTAGAAACAGGCTGGGCAGAGCCGTGGCCGCACCCTTGACCGCCGCTCCGCGTGGGCCCAGTTCTGTGGCTGCCTCTGCTGGGCTGCTGAGATGAGTGCCGATTCTCGGGGTGGAGGGGCTGAGCGTGGATCTTTCCCGTGGATTCGGGAAGAAATGCAGAGCTGAGGCCCCCTCCCAGGCAGCTGGGCTCCCATTTCTAGGGAGTCTGTGACCGGAACTTCTGCTCTCCGCTCGGACTGGGTCTTGTGATGTCATCTTCATACAGCTTTCCTGGGCCCCCACACCCAGAGCCTTGATGTCAGCCCCCCTGGGGGCCTCCCGCTCTGAAGCCCCCAGACCTGCAGGGTCCACCTGCCACCCACAAGGTCACCCATAGGTGGCGTGAGAGGTCTGAGGCTGGGGCCCTGGGGGTTGTGTCTGGAGTTGGGGACAGAGAGAGAGAGAGTGTGTGGTGGGCCTGTGTGGCTTATGTTTTTAACCCACAGAGTCTTTAATGACTTGTGCTGAAAGGGGTACATGTGGTCATGAATGAACGACCGTGAGCTTGGTGTCAGCGAGAGACGCGGCCCTGGGGTGGGCTGCAGCGCTGGCCTCCCCCAGGACAGACCCTGTGAGCCCCAGCCAGTACCGCTGGTGGTGGCCTTGGTCCGAGTTCCCATGAACACGAGCTGTCTGCACACTCATCCCTGCCTGGGCTCTGTGGGCTGTGGCCCGTATCTGCTGAGTGTCCTGGATGATGACAAATGTCTCGATGTGTGCAAAGCAGATGCTTCGGCCTGGTGGTTTGAAGTCATTCCTTGCACGTGGGTGTTTCGGGCGCCTGGCCGTTGGCCTCTGACCACTGTCAGCCTGCATGCTGAGAAGGGGCCGAGGAGCTGGCCCGGCCCTGCCACCAGGCTCCTTGGGGCTGGCACGCAGACCCGGGCAGGCCTCGGGGCCTGGTGCTGTGGGCCGGGGGGCTGCCTCCAGCTTCTCAACTTGGCTTCCACCTGGCACCGGGTGCCCCTTGTAGGCACATGGGAGCCACATGGCCAGCCTCAGGCCCCAGGGAGGCTCACCTGCAGCCATTCTGCTGGGGAGGGCCATGGAAGAGACCTGAGCGGGCCCTGGCAGCAGACGGGGGGCCGTTTGGGGGTCTGGAGTTCTAGGTGCTGGGGTGCAGCGTAGAACAGGCCCAGTGACGGTAGCTTGACCCCTTGCTGCTTGGGCTGGGCCCCAAGGGCTCCCTTTGGGGGTGTGGGGACCGGTTCTTGGGGTGCACATCTCCCCCAGGGCTTGAGCTGCAGTAGGGCCTGGGTGGAGGCGGGGAGTCCTCCCCACACATCACGCTCTGTCCTCTGACCACCCTGTGCCAGTGCCGACTGTCGAAGCTGCTGGCTTTCTCCTTTTCCATAGGAGTTCGGGCTCGGAGAGTGACGTCACCGGCTCAGGGCTGCAAGGGGCAGCTTGAGCAAACCAGAGTCACACTGTGAGTGGCATCGCGTCCCCTGGCTGTGCCCTGTGTCAAAAGCAAGGTGCCAGGGCCAGTCCCCACCCTGCTCCAGGGGGCCCCCCAGACCCTCACTCTTGTGACAGTGCATGTGACGCACCTTCCAGACGGAGCTCAGAGCCTCCCGCTGTGGGGGAGGGGGGGCGTCCCCTGTGGGGAAGCGTCAGGGTCTCTTCTGTTGGTGCCCACTTGAGCCCTGACAGGCGCCTGGCCCCGCCCGGTCTCGCCACTCCCCTGTGGGGACTGCCCACGCACCCGTCCTTGTCACCGCGCGCCCCTGCACTTTGTCCTGCCCTGACAGGTGCTCTGGTCCCTCTGAGTGGTGTCCCCACACCCGGCTGCTCTGCCGGGAGTCAGCAGAGCCGGCCTGTGGGGAGCCGCTGGCCACGGGGAGGGAGCTGTGACCAGCTGCGGGGGCACCTGTCATCCTCCAGACCTGCCTGCCAGGCCTGGGCACTGTCCTTCCCTGGGGGGCTGACGCTATCTCCCCGCCCCAGAGAAAGAGCCCCCCTGCCGTGTCCTGTGCGCCCACCATGCTGTCACCCTGCCCTGCCTGGTCCCCACTCCCTTCTCCCCTGAGCTTCGTCCTGGGGCCGCCCCATCTGTCTCTCGCCATCTCCCTTTAGCCTCCACCTCTGCTCCTCGTCTCTTGTGTCCCTGGCCCCCTTCCTCAGCCCCATCTGTCCCCTCGTTCCTTCCTTTGTGCATCCACCTGGTTTCGCAGGTACATCGTGGGGCCTGCTGCACGTGGGGCTCTACAAGGACAAGGGATGGGGCACAGGAGACAGGAGGAGCAGCGCCCCCACCAGGCAGGAGCCGGGAACAACCCAAACCAGAAACGGAGTCTCCGGGTGCTGCGGGGATGCCTGGAGGAGGGGGCGTTGCCATGGGCCCAGGAAGGGGAGCTCCCGGGTGGGTGTCACGGAGAGGCCAGGGCACGGGCCAGCGTGGGGGTGCCGAGGAGCCTCAGAGTGGGGTCGGCCCCGCTCTGTCTGTGGTGGAACCGGTGCTGGCAGATGAGGCAGCAGGCCGCCCGTCCTGGTCTGGTGAGGCTGGTGGTCAGACACAGGTGCCGCCTCATGTACAAGACCCTTGCCCTGCCCCCGAGTGCTGGGGGCTGTCCCCATTTCCTGCTTGGCTGTGCGTCTGGGGGCAACGAGTGGGCCACTCCCCGAGGGTCTCAGAAGGAGGCGTGGAGGTTGGAGGTTGTGCTGTTTCCGAGTGTTGGATGCCCAGAGTTCACGGCCAGGTCTTCCACTGTGGCTGCGATTCGGGACCACCCGGACAGGCCCAGCCTGGACCTAGGCCTCCTGCCCCTGGGCCCTCCTGGCCTCGGCCCTGCGCAGGCCCTGACCCGAGAAGGGAGGCGTTCCTGCAGAAGGCCGTGCTGTTGGCTGCGCCGAACCGCACACGGGTCGGCCGGGCCCGTGGGGTGCTGGGGACGTCCCTCCCAGCGACACAGAACGGGACACGGGTGTCGGCAATGCGGTCGTCTAGCCCGTCAGATGCCCCTGGGGACGTGAAGCCAAGAAGCCTGAGGCCTCTGGCCCCTCAGGCCAGGCCCAGTCTTGTCGGGCCGAGAGGCCGGACCCTGCGCCGGAGCCCCAGGCCTGTTCTGGGAGCTGGTCCTGGAGAGGGTGGCCGGGGCCACGTCCTCCCAGCCAGGCCGGCGTGTGGCTTGCCGGCCGAGGGGGCTGGTGGGCAGGTGGGGGACTACTCAGGAGGTGAGGGGGGCCTCACCCACGCTCCTGCTCTTTTCGGGAGGCCCGTGCGCACGGCAGCCCCGGCCTGGAGTGAGCGGGGCTGTGCCCGCCCTCCCCGCCGTGTGGCCAGGCCCCCGGGACCTGACAGTTGGAGAAAGGGGGCTGAGTGATGAGCTCCAGCTGGATCACTCCTGACAGGTTCCTGCGAGTTAATTGGAAATGAAACGCATCATCTTTTCTTTTGATGAGAAAAGGCATATTTAGCTGGAACTAATCAGCATCGGGCCTAGAGAAACGTGGAGACCGTGGAAAGAAAATAAAAGTTCGAAGGCATTTGGAAAATGTGGTAGTTCTCCCCAAACAACGTGCGTCCTGATGGGTTGACACCTCGCCTCCGAGTGATGGGCGGGCTCTGCTTACGTTCGGAGCTGCCTCCAGACGCAACGCCATTCTTGGTTTCATCGTCGCTATTTCTTAATTAAATCACGTATAGATGGCATTTGCCGGCAGCACCTCCCTGGGAAGTGGCCCTGGGGGGCTGTCCGCAGCCTCGTGAGACGCCCACTGTCCCCGCCGCCCTCCATCCTCGGGGGGGGGGGTCCCGACCCTCTGCGCCCCACCTTCCCCCCTGGGAGCTCAGGGGCAGCCCCAAGTGCAGCGGCCCTTGCTCTGTGGGTGCTGAGCCGGCTGTCCCAGGCCCACGGGCTGTCTTCTCTTGGCTCGGCCACAGAGATTCCCCGAGGCCACAGCGCGACCTGCAGCTGGTGGCTTTTTGCTGTGGAACAAAACGCCCAAAGGCAGCCCGTCAGGCACACTCGGGTGCTGTCCCCGCTGCCTGTGGGCGGGGGTCCGGCCCGCTGGGTGGGGGTCCAGCTCGCTGGCTGGGCCTGGGCCCAGGGTGCAGGTGGCTGCCGTCGCGGAGGCAGCTGGGCGGCGGTGGTCTCACGGGGAGCTTGGCTGGCGGAGGGCTGGCCGCCACGCTCAGGTTGTTGGCGCAGCTCAGCTCCTGTGGCTGTGGGACTGCGGCGTCGGCTCCTGGCCAGGCTGCCTCCGGTGCAGGGTGCGGTGCTCCCCGGCCGAGTGCCGCCCGCCCCGGCTGCTGGACGCTCCCTCCACGACTGGGCAGGT